TATGACTCTTGGAAAGATCAGATATTCTCTGTCATTAGGAGAGGCAGGCAGGAACACCATCAATGTCTTTTGGCAAAGTAATTCCTGTGGAGCTGATAAGGGTATTCATATTCTGTTTCTATGTAGCCTGTGCACTGTGTATGAGTAAAAACTTCTGTAATGAGCTCTGCTTTCATAATGAGCCCTGCACAATGACGTAAGATAGAGTGGCTTGCTACTGTAAGAAGTTACTTAGGTTATTGGTTGCTTCCTTCTTCCTTTTCCTTCAGGGTTTAATTTAGGAGTCTGAGTGATTATAGAAAAAAAAAAAAAAAAAAAAAATCACCCCCTTTTAAAGCGCTTTCATGAAAGAGCGTGGAAGGGGCGCTTCTTTGGGGTTGTTTTTTTTGTTTTTTCAGCAGAAAAAAAAAAAACGAACCAAAAAAAAAAAAAGCCAAAAAAAAAAAAAAAAAGGGGGGGGGGAATTCTGGGCAGCTCCTTGCTCAGTTCATGGTCCCCTCCTGCGCGGCCGGATCCAGCGGGGCTGAGCCGTCAGCGGCTGCTCAGAGACCTGCGGAAGGAGAGAGAGAGAGAGAGGAGTGAGACCGTTTGTCCCCAAACCCCATCCAGGATCCCGCACCCTCCCGGCACCGTCCCCACCACCAGCACATCTCCTGCCCCACAGAAGTTCCCTCTGCTCCATCCCCCTGGGGCCAGGAGGGCTGCGAAGTGATTGAGAATTATAGAATCATCAAATAGTTTGAGTTGGAAGAGACCTTTGAAGGTCTTTTCCGTCAGCAGGGACATCTCAACTAGACCTGGTCCAACAGAACCTTGAGTGTTCCCAGGGATGGGGCACCCACCACCTCTCTGGGCAACCTGAGCCAGCATCTCACCACCCTCAGCATAAAAAAAAATGTCATATTTATCCAACCCAAAGGGCTACAAAGTGATTTAGAATTACAGAATCATTGAACGGTTTGAGTTGGAAGAGACCTTTATAGGTCTTGTCCATGAATAGGGACATCTTCAGCAGGACCTGGTCCAACCTGACCTTGAATGTTCCCAGGGATGGGGCATCCACCACCTCTCTGGGCTGCAAAGTGACTGAGAATTATAGAATCATCACACAGTTTGGGTTGGAAGAGACCTTTGAAGATCTTGTCCATGAGCAGGGACATCTCAACTAGACCTGATCCAACAAGACCTTGAATATTCCCAGGGACGGGGCACCCACCACCTCTCTGGGCAACCTGAGCCAGCATCTCACCACCCTCAGCATAAAAAAAAAATCATATTTATCCAACCCAAAGGGCTACGAAGTGATTTAGAATTACAGAATCATCGAACAGTTTGAGTTGGAAAAGACCTCTGAAGATCTTGTCCATGAGCAGGGACATCTTCAACATGACCGGGTCCAATCTGACCTTGAATATTCCCAGGGATGGGGCACCCACCACCTCTCTGAGCAACCTGGGCCAGCATCTCACCACCCTCAGCATAAAAAAAAAATCATATTTATCCAAACCAGAGGGCTGCAAAGTGATTTAGAATTATAGAATCATTGAATAGTTTGGGTTGGAAGAGACCTTTAAAGGTCTTTTCCGTCAGCAGGGACATCTTCAACTAGACCTGGTCTGACCTGACCTTGAATATTCCCAGGGATGGGGCATCCACCACCTCTCTGGGCTGCAAAGTGATTGAGAATTATAGAATCATCAAAAAGTTCAAGTTGGAAGAGACTTTTAAAGGTCTTATCCACGAGCAGGGACATCTCCAACTAGATATGGTCCAAGAGGACCTTGAGTCTTCCCAGGAATGGGGCACCCACCACCTCTATGGGCCACCTGGACCAGCATCTCACCACCCTCAGCATAAAAAAAAATCATATTTATCCAAACCAGAGTCTGCAAAGTGATTTAGAATTACATAAATTTAATAGTTTGGGTTGGAAGAGACCTTTAAAGGTCCTGTCCATGTGCAGGGACATCTTCAACACAACCGGGTCCAACCTGACCTTGAACATTCCCAGGGATGGGGCACCCACCACCTCTCTGGGCAACCTGAGCCAGCATCTCACCACCCTCAGCATAAAAAAAAAATCATATTTATCCAAACCAGAGTCTGCAAAGTGATTTAGAATTACATAAATTTAATAGTTTGGGTTGGAAGAGACCTTTAAAGGTCCTGTCCATGTGCAGGGACATCTTCAACACAACCGGGTCCAACCTGACCTTGAACATTCCCAGGGATGGGGCACCCACCACCTCTCTGGGCCAGCATCTTGCCACCGTCAGCGTAAAAAAAAATCGTATTTATCCAACCCCATCTTGAAAAACCCCCAGGATGGAGCCCAAAACCACCCGCGCCGTGGGACACGTGTGGGCCGGGCACGGCGATGCTCGTCGAGGAGGAGGAGGAGGAGCCGGCAGCAAGGAGCCCGTGAATCATTATTCCTCCGTGACACTCCAGACTCTTTTTCCCCCCCCCCCATTTTTTTTTTCTCTTAATAAAGTCATAAGCAGTCGAGTGGCTGATGATTAGCTCGGGCAATTTAAATCCGTCTCCAATTTCTGCATTAATCTTCAATTTGGAATTTTAAAATGTCTTTATTTGATTACTTTAATAAAAAAAAAAAACCACTCCTATCGTCAGGCAGAGAAACCTCATTTTTTGGGGCGAGGGGAAGGACTCTGAAGGAAGCCCCGAGAGCACGGGGTTCGATTGGGCTCAACACCAGCCCGATGCCGGTCGTTTCCATGGATCTGGGATGGATTTGAGGGGCTCGTTGGATGAAGGGATGAAGAGGGGGATAAAGTCAGGCAGTCTGTTTTTCTCCAGTCGTGTTTTTTTCCTCCTGCTCCCGTGGCCAGAAGAGCATCTAACACCGCGTTTCAGGCGAGGGTGCCCCGTGCCAATCCCCGGGCAGAGGGAAAAGCCAGTCCCAAAATAGCTTCCTATCTGCTGCCACTTGGCAGCCCCCGGCCCTCGCTCTCCTTACAAAACACACAGGAGAAAAAAAAAAAAAAAAACAAAAAAAAAACACTTTTTCCCCCCCTCCCATCATCCCAATTCAACCCTCTCCAGCCCTGACCCAGCTCCTCCTGCTCCTCTCCCACCCCACAGCATGGACACCCCCTCCCCGGGACCCCCTGAACCCCCCCCAGTGACCTTGGCCCCGTCCTTCGCCTCCGCATCGGACCACGCTCCCACAACAAACAAGCCCTGACGGTCTCACTCCCACACTTGTTTTTCGGGGTTCATTGAGTCGTGTGAGTCACTTCATCTTTTTTCTCTGCTTTTTTTTTTTTTTGGGTAAAATTATTCATCGCGCATCGTGCTCTGGGCTTTCAGCCCCGGTTCCAGCAGCCCAGAGGGGAACAGCGAGACTTGCCCCCTCCCCAACATCCACAGTTTGTCCTCCAGGGAAGACGAGTGATGGGGAGCCCAGGAGGGAGACCAGAGAGACAAAGGGCAGCAAAAATCCTTTTTTTTTCCCCCATAAATCCCACCAAGAAGGCCCTTTGGAAGGAAAAATCATACGTTTGCTGCTTGGGTTGTTATTTCTCAAAATCGGTGTGTGTTTTTCCCCCCCAGCAGCAAACAGGAGGGACCATCCGGCTGTGAGCAGCACTGGTACCATGGAGGATGCTGAGCTGGTGCCAGGGGGGATGCCCTTCAGCTGCTGCTCCCCATCCCTCTGTGGGCAGCCCCAAAAAGGGCGATCCCAGAGCATCCTTCATCCCAGAGCATCCTTCATCCCAGAGCATCACTGGTCCCACAGCACCATTGGTCCCAGAGTATCACTGGCCCCAGAGTATCAACGGTCCTAGAGCTTCACTGGTTCCAGAGCACCACCGTCCCCAGAGCATCACTGGTGCTAGAACATCACTGGTCCCAGAGCATCGCCTGTCCCCAGAGCATCACTGGTCCCACAGCATCACTGGTCCTAGAACATCACTGGTCCCACAGAATCACTGGTCCTAGAGCTTCACTGGTTCCAGAGCATCACCTGTCCCCACAGCATCACTGGTCCTAGAACATCACTGGTCCCACAGCATCACTGGTCCCAGAGTATCAATGGTCCTAGAGCTTCACTGTCCCCAGAGCATCACTGGTCCCACAGCATGATTGGTCCCAAAGTATCACTGGTCCCAGAGCATCACCTGCCCCCAGAGCATCATGGTCCCTGAGTATCACTTTCCCCAGAGCATCACTGGTCCCAGAACATCACTGGTCCCAGAGCATCACTGGTCCCAGAGCATCACCAGTCCATAGGATCGCTGCTCGAACCGGCACTGGTGAGCAGAGGCTGCAGGCACTGGGCTGCCACGAAAGCATCCCTCAAAAAAAGCCGAAAACAAGGATTTTTGTTTCATCGGGAGCCGAGGTGAGGATTTTGCACGTACGGAGAAAATCTGGCGGAGGAGGAACTTTGCCCCACATTCACTTTGCAGCTTTTCCCTTCGGAGCTGCCATCTCTTTAAAGGGGCTGAAAACTCTTCACCTTCCCCATCCCCAAAACCGCCGGCAGAAGGACCAAGTGGCAACAGCTCCGCATCCGGACCCAAGGCGAGACGCTAATTCCTTCCTTGTGCTGCAGCTCTTGGACGGAGAAACTGTCTGAGAAGGCAGCGGATTTACTGTCCAAACCAGAGAGGAACTCTCCAGAAGCAACAATAAACACTGGAGAAGAAGGGGCAGTAAATTAAAACCGAGTGAAAGGAAGCATATTTTAACGCGGTTCGGTTGTGGGACTTCTTCACAGGATGCCGTCGCGGCCAAAAGCTCCCCAAAAGAGATGGGATGTTTGTAGGGATGAGGAGAAATCCCTGGAGCTGCTCATTCCTGCCCTGAGCTTTGCAGGAACCGGTGCTTCGTGCATGGGAAGGGTGGGATTCAAACCACATCCCCCTCCCTGTGCCGCAAACAAAACCCCAGGTGTTTGGATACAAATCGCCTTTTTCAACCACCAGAGCACATTTCCTCCTCTTGCATCCCGACTCCCGGCACGTCGGCATCCCGGAGCTGGATGAGGACCATCATCCCAGCCTCGGGTTTTGCTCATCCCGCTGGATAAAGTTTTCCATAGGAAAAAGGGCAACTTAACAGCATATTTTTTTTTGCTTGTCATCGTGGGGAGAAAAGGAGGTGGTCGTGTGATGCTCCTGATCCCTCTCCTCTGCACAGGAAGGAAAACATCCCACAGCGAGTGCGGTCCTCGGACGGGATGAAAAGGGGGGATGGAGAAAAGCACGGAGCTGTGTGCTCCTCTCCAGACTCATCCCGTGGAGGGGATTTAAAACTCCTCCCTTTTCATGTTCCCAATGTCAGAGTTGGGGTTTCGGGGGTGGGTTTATTTGGTTTTAGGTTGGGGGTTATGTTCTAAAATATTTTTAAACCCAGGTATTTTGGCGTTTCCTGCCCAGGTGGCTGTTTCAGAAAAGTCCAACCACAGGCTCGAGTTTCTGAGCAGCATCTGCAAACGCAAGAGACCTGGAGAGACACCCCCATTCCTGCCCACCCCCCCCGGCGCTGCCCCGGGTGCTCCCCCCAACACACAGCACCCAC